TCTCTCTCTCTCTCTCTCTCTCTCTCTCTCTCTCTCTTTCTCTCTCTCTCTCTCATGCCGCCCGCAAATCGCCAAGCCCAGCACAGGCAGCGAGCAAAAAAGCATCGAGCCACGCAGGGAAAGAAAAAGGGGAGCGCTGTATCTTCCCGACCTTGCGCTGCACATTCGGATCCGCCACAGGCCGCCAGGGAAAAAAAAAAAGCAAGCGCTGTATCTTCCCATCCTTGCCATGTGGGTTCCGATCTGCCAAACGCCGCCTCACGGGCTGACAAAAAAATAGATCGCCCCGCCAAACGCTGCCTCACGGGCTGACAAAAAAATAGATCGCGCCCTCGCACCGGTTGGGAAAACCTCCAATACCGGAGCGGTCCCGCGTGGAGGCGCCCTGTTTCTGTTGGGTCCGTCACGCGAGACCCGCTTCTTGCTTTATCGTATTAGAGATAATGTTGAATGGCTGAACCGGAATCGATGTCCGAAGTCCTCTTCTACTGCAGGTGCAACATGAGGTCCACCATAGCCATGGCCACCACTCTCCTTCCTCCTCGAAGGCCGAGGCTATGGCGGACTACAAGGGCCTTGCCCTGCTGTGGAAAGGACAACACAAAGAAGCTATGGCTGCTTCTGTTCAGGCCGCCATGCCTGACTCTGCCTCAAAGCTTCTTGGTGCAGCTCTACCCCAGCTGGGGCCTTCCTGACACAGCTTCCACCAAGGTGATGAAGATGGCGTCCACAATAGCCAGGTAAGTCCCCTGGCGCTCCCCTCTACTAGCCGCCTCCTTTCTCCTCCTCCTGCCTGGCTCCTTCTACCATAGCCACAGTGGAGAGCTGGGCGCTCCTCCCTCCCCAAGCACTGCTTGCTGCTAGCGCTGGTCTGCAGGTCGCTTCAGCAGCGTGTCGCCAAACTTGCATGCAACAAATGAGGAGCACTCCGCTCCTCCTGCAGATATAGCGGCCTGCTTGCCTCTTGGGCGGTGACTTCCTAGGCTGCGCGGCCTCCAAGCAACCGGTACCTCCTCCCTTTCGGAGGGACACATCATTGCAGACTCTGATATTGCCCGCACAGGCCCTAGACTCAGACTGGTTGGACTGCTACCTGGCTAGACCTACCCTACCACTACTGGGCCTCTAAATATGCCAACTTCCGTCTTCTTCTGCTCGGCCTTGAGTACCCTGCACATCTACCTCTACTTGGTGTGGTACCGGCCTACCTGCTACTTAAGTGTTTTCCGCTGCTCCAAGTCTCGCGGGGCCTCTTTCCCCGCCACTTGAGTGTTTTCCCCACTGCAACCCTCAATGTCACGGCCACAGCTAAGTACTGGCCCTTCGGGCCTTCCTCCCGCACGGTCAAGTACCCTTGCTGGCCACACACACACTCAAACCGACAAGCACTCAGACAGGCATGCAGACCAGGAAGCACGCACACGCTCAAACTTAGAAAACTCAGCAAAAAACAAGCGGGAAACTCAGAAAAGGCATACATTCCCTTGGCGAAACTCAGAAATCAGCTGTCTCAGTCCGTGTTTGGCAGGTCCTTACCAGATACAGAAGAGTGCAACACCTAAGGAGCTGATCTTTGTCAAGTACAGTCGTACAGATTTTTCTTCCCGTCCAATTTGGCATGAGAGAGAAATAGCCTAAAAAAGGTGTCTGGGACATCAGTCTTGACTTTTAGGTAGCGGCATTACCCTCCCACAGAGTCCCAGTAGGTTTTTTTTTTTTTTTGCCCATCCCACAACAAGTCTTTGAAGGGGACGCAGGTGACCATTGACCCAGCCATGCGACCCCTTTTTTTTTTTTTGAGTCAATATTTTCCCCGTGTGCCGCTACTTGCCGTGAGCCGCACCGTGCAGGTCCGCTCATGCGCCAAAAGTGTGGAATTCTCCGCACTGCATCCGCTTGCATGTATGCATGAAAGCCATGGAATCCCTGAGCAGCAATCCAGTAGATAAAAAAAAATGTAGAGCAAGAGAAAAACGAAAGAAAAAAAAAAGAAAATGTAGATCTATATATCCCATCAGAGATGTTAAAAGGAGCTGCTACATATTCCAACCACAAGGAAGATAAAAAAAAGAAAAAAGTGAACATTTCTCAATTTATGTTTGTCATCCTTGTGCAGGGGCCATGCTAATGACCCTTCTCTGTATCTCTCCAATTTTCACGGATGTCCCGAAGGACAGGCACATACATATTTCTTTCTCTTTTCAATGTGTGTGTGTGTGTGTGTGTGTGTGTGTGTGTGTGTGTGTGTGTGTGTGTGTGTGTGTG